TATATATATATATATATATATGATAAATGGAAGGTTTGAAAACAGTTTTTTTTCCTTGTCATATTTAAAGATATTTTAGTACTTAAAATTTCAATAAGGACAATAGCATTCCAGAAATAAGTATCATTCATGATATAATATTATACTACATATTTATATATATATTTTTTAATAATATGTGGAGGATCTATAAATCTATAATAAACATAAAATTGGGGAATGCAAGAGTAATTAATTAGTATCGTATTAATTTTCATCGAAAATTTTGCTGCCAAGCATTTTTTTTTTTGGGTCTAAAATTTTAAGATTTAATATTTTCCATTTTACAATTTTTGAGAACACATTTTTTAAAAATATTATTGTTTGATATTTAACATTGATTATATATATGCCGGTAGATGGAGAGAGAACTTAATTTAAATACTGAGTTTGCAATTTTTTACATGAATATTTAATAAGAATTTACTTTATAATATAACCAAATTATATTAATGATAAAATACCGTGGTAAAGTGATCAAATCTTAAATATTGGATGTCAATAAAACTATTTTATATTAAAAATATATGTAAATCAATAATATATATATATATATATATATATCCCTTAAATCTTATTTTTAAGATTAAAAAATGTGTATGCATAACTTTTTAAGTAATCATATAACTGCTAAAAAATTTGATATATATATATATATATATATATATATATATATATATATATATCTCTTAAATCTTATATGTATTTTTAAGATTAAAAAATGTGTATGCATAACTTTTTAAGTAATCATATAACTGCTAAAAAATTTGATTTTGGTCATTCATGGTTTGATTACTCCAATTTAAATATAGATCATTAAATCTTATTTGAATCAACAAAATTAAAAAGAAAATGCATATTACTTTTTTTAAAAAAAGTAGTCATGTAACCATAAAATAATTTTTAGACTTAATTATATTTTTTGTCACTCATATTTTATAATTTTATAAATTTTATCTCCTAATTTTTCAAAATTTAACAAATTTTATCTTCTGTTAATTTATTATTTGATGTCATTAAATAATATACATTGACATAATATGTTAACTATGAAAAAGGATACATTGATTGTTTATGTCACATTGTCAAATTACATTAACATTAACAACCAATATATCACATTAGTAGTTAACGTGACATATCAGCTAGCTATCAACTAACAGTGTCAAACAATTCACTATTAAAACAACAAAATATACGAAGTTTTGAAATAAAGACAAAATGTATAAATTCAAAATTAAGTGACAAAATTCACAAAATTGTAAAACATATATAAGTGACAAAAAATTACAACTAAACCTTAGTTTTAATCTTGAACATTTATGAACGTATGAATGGTCTTGTAACCCAAATATAAAGTTTTCGCGTTCTGTAAAATGAGAACAATATTTTCTAAGTTCTTCTTCCAAGTTGTATTGTGTACCCAGGTTCATACCGACTAAGAAGAACAAGAGGAGATACCAAATGTACAACCAAATTAATGCTATATTGAAAGAAATGATTAAGAGGAGAGAGCAAAGAATGAAAACAGGTGAATTGGAAAGTCATGATCTATTAAGCTTGCTATTAGAGTGCAAAGGGGAAAGTGAAAGTTCTCTAACAGTTGATGATGTGATTGAGGAATGCAAGTTGTTATACTTTGCTGGCCAAGAGACCACAACCAACCTTCTTACATGGACCATGATTGTTTTATCTATGCATTCAAATTGGCAGGAAAAGGCCAGAGCTGAAGTATTCCAAATTTGTGGCAAAAATGTACCTGGACTTGAAACCATAAATCGCCTTAAAATAGTAAGTATATAACATCTTAGAGAGCTTAAAATAATTCACTAATATAATTTTTTAATTACATGCTAAGTTTCATACAAATTTTGCATAAAAATTTACAAGAAATATGGTTTTTATAAATTTTACTATAAATTTTTTTATACAAGAAATTCTGCAGGAAAATTTATTGAAAAAAAAAATCATAGAAACTTATATTACTTGTTTTTTTTAAGAAAAAAAATTACTGAGTGCATTAATACATTATCACGTTTTGTTGGGAGTTATCCAAAATGTTTAAACTAGCTATTACTTAAATATGTTTTAGCAGCGCATGATAAATTTTGGTTTAAATTTTTAAAAGAAATTATTGATTTTAGTTCTCGTAAATTTATTTTTGCGAAAGGCATGGTTTATGTTATTATTTAGTGATGAGGTGACATGTTTTAGACATGTCAATGTCATGTTAAGTTGTTAACTATACCACTAAAATAATGTGACATAATATGTTTAGATGCGTGTAACGTCATAAGTAAATAATTCTTAGTTTTTTTTTCTAAAAAAAGAACAATTAAGATTAAAACTAATGAATAAAAATTATAAAGACTAAAAAAATAAAATAAAAAATATTTGTAAATGTTGACTAATATATTAAATTAACTAGTCTTGTTTGTTTTATCTATATCTCTCCTTAATTAAATGATAACGAAGAAGAAGAAGTTAATATTATAAGCACCACTTGAGAGAAGAAAAGTATTCTCTTTTTATGTGGTTTCATTTTCTTATCTTTTTAAACATTTTCAAAAAAAAAAAATAACTAAGATAAAATGATAAATAATTGTTTTTTGATGTTATTGAGAGGAGAGAATATGAGATAAGCAAAAGGCAGCCTACATATTTCGTTTTCCATTATCACCTCTAATTACATCATATATGAAATATTATTTTAGACCAAAAACCTTATGATAAATATTTGACTGTGATTTGTAGGTGACAATGGTACTTCATGAAGTCCTAAGGTTGTACCCACCTATATCATATATTCAGAGATACACACTATGTGAAACAAGGATAGGAAGCATAACCATTCCTGC